GAACACAAAGCTTCATTTTAATTGCACAATTAATTTGGTATCACTTAATTCCATCTATGTTTTTAAAATTCATGTGTATGGGTGTTTTGCTTGTATGTCTGTCCATGTATACCTGGTGCCCATGGAAGCAAGAGGAGGATGTTGGATCCCCTGGATGGAACTCTTTCTCTTGAAGAGCAGCCACTGCTCTTGAATATTCTATCCAGCCTCTGATATTATGTAATTTTAAGGGCTTTGTGAAAGTGGGTAATAATCTGAATACTATTAACATTTGTTTTTTGCAAATTTTCAAAGATAAATTTAACACATACGTGACCCTGAAAGTCCAGAACGTGAAGAGCACAACTGTGGCAGTTCGTGGTGATCAGCCTTCCTGGGAGCAAGATTTCATGTTGTAAGCACTTTGCTGAAGTGTTTGTGTACACTTCACAAACATTCCGTCATGGTCATAAGTCAGCGATATCCAATGAAACAATTCAGTTACTGAGTCTGTGTATGGCAGTGACGTATTAACATGCCAACAATGGTATGTATTTTTTTTAATCTGTAGCATTAGAGGAGCAAGTGAAGCTTGTAGTGAAGTACATTGCAGTTTTTTTTTGTTTCATTGATTCATAGTTTATTCTTGGAGATAAACAATGAATATCAGTAACCTGAAGTAACATAGTGAGTTAAGAATACTGCCTGCTCAGATTTTCTCACAGGTCAGAATTCAGATGCACTCCAGTGCACTTAGCCTAATATCAAATGTAACTTTGTCTTTGGTCCTGAGAGGTTCTCTAGGGAAATGTGGCCATGTGTGTTCTAGAATGTGTATATACCTAAATTATTTCCTAAGAGTGCGACTTCTAAAACCTTTTCCACTCTTGACATACTTTTCCCTGAAAAATTTTTAATTGACTCTGGGTATATAGGTATATAAAATAGGTATATAAGTCAAGCATTTACAATAATAAGTTTAACATTTTAGGACTTAGAAAATAGCTCAGTCGATAAAGAATTTGCTTAGCATGCTAGAGGCCTTGGGTTTCATCCCTAGTACCTCATTTCCCCTAAAAGTATTTTCTTTTGGACTAAGTATATAGCTCATTCTTTGTGGTAAAAACTCTAAGTTCAGTTATCAGCACTGAAAAAAAAATTAGAGTAAAATAAAATATTATCTTTTAAACAATCCTTTGTAGATGAAAACAGGCTGTGTATAAATGAGATAGATGTGCCTATTTACTTTGTATGAAATCCTTCTTCTGAAACAGCAAGCCTTAAGATAAAACATCTTAGCATGGATACAGTGAAAAGATAAAACTTCTGAGTTTCCATGCAGAGGGATGACACAATTAAACCATGATGATGGTGTAGGCAAGAAAAAGGTTGTTTGTGTAATAAAACTGTGCAATTTATAGCGAACAGTAGTCTTGAACCCGAGGCACATTCCAGGCCACATTCTTTGGGATTGGTGGCACAGTGGTGTGCACAGTACAGAGCTGTATTGAAATCACGTGGGGGTCACAGGCTAGCACTGAAATCACATGGATATCACAGGCTAGCATTGCTGGAAACACCTCAGATTTATTACACTGCACTTTGATTTTGAGTTAATGTTCTAGCATCATATGTTTAGGAACTTCTCAGGTTTTTTTTTGACCCTCCAAATTCAGTTCTGTGTCCACCATATGGCATGGTATCTCAGCTGTGCATGTAGAACTGCAGTTCTCAGCATGTGGGTGGGACTCCTTGGGATTAAAGGTGTGTGCCACCACCACCCAGCTATTTCTTTACTTTTACAAATAGGCTTTGTTAGCTATTTTCCTTCCTTTTTCCTCCTTTTCTTCCTTCCTTCCTTCCTTC